TACTAAATTTAACGTCGTCAGACTCTGAAGTTACTGAATTAATTTGATAAAAGAATAATATTTCACGTTTGTTTGTGGTGTTATCTTAAAACCCTGTATTATTAATTTTTCTAAATAAAAGTTTTTTTTCAAGAATTTACCTCGGATATGAACCGAAGCCCTTTGTCTTAAAGTATCAATGAAATACGATTTTTTAAAACTATGATTTCTGTTTCTGTGGTATAGATTTTCTATGGTATAGTTTCATTCACGTTAATAACAAAGAATTCGAATCATTTCGTGATAAGCTGCAATGAACAATTGTCTGGTTGAAGATTTTCATGTGTAGCCTTCATACATATTATATTTCCATTTATAAAAAGTAATATCAGAACTGATATTATTTTTAAGGTTTGGTTTATTTGATTCCGGCAAAGCATTCGAGAGCTAGGTGCCTAAGGGAAGGGATGTCTTCGTGGAGAACTCGCCAAGGGAAACTACCTCGTATGCACATGGGAAAAGCCACGAAACCCATGCAGCCAGCCCGTTCTCCAGGTTTCGATTCCTCACCGAACTAGCAGAGTTCAGCGACTTTACCGTTCGGCCGCTAGTGGACGCCTTATTTCTTTAGGAAAGGAGTCGTATGAAACTATTTTTTCTTCAATATAAATACTCATTGATGCAGTTTTTTATGTTTATTTTATATCCTTTTAGTTTTAAATTGAAATTAACTGACAATAGAAAGAACAGAGTTTATTTCATAAGAAATTAGCTATTTTGGAAACATTTTCTGGGGAAGGGGGTAATATTCATTTCTAGACTTATGAAAAACTTTCGTGATGTCTTGAAAATAAGTTGAGGGTAAATTCTACACAGAATTCAGTATCTGCATTTTAAAAAATGCAGCCAAAGAATCTTTCAATTACCGGTATGAAATTCTTATATTCACTTCTCAGCTTACAGTTAAATGTAGCAATTAGTGAGAAACTCTCAGCTTTTGAAGTCAGGCAAACCAGTTTTTAAGAGAAGCGAAGCACGTTCTCACTCATAGGAGGTTTCGAATGCTAAAACTAATGTAAAACATGAACGTCAACAAACGAACTGGAAAGCTAATAAAATACATTATTATCATCACGGCAAACAAAACATCTTTGGTACTGTTCTGTTATCAGGACCGGATTCAGAAATGGATGCATGTATGTATGGAATGAATTCATGTGTTTATGTATGCATGTATGTATTATATAAGCACGAATGCATATGCGTTTATACATACACACATATATGCAAATAGATATATACACACGCGCGTATATTCATACATTTCTGTATCCGGTTCCGATAACAGAACATTACCACATCTTTCTTCAAATCTTTATCTGCCATCTTGATTGGTGAAAGGATATCACTTCTGCAAAGAAGAAGAAAGGATTATGTGTTTCGAATGTAATGCTCGTGTAAGTATGAGCGGGCTATAAGATTCTGAAAATACATAAGTATTTCTTCGCGAGTATTACCTTCTCATTTACCATTCTCCTTTATATTTCTGGTAGTTCGGCCTGATTTCATGTCGGGGTAAACGGGTTGGCTTCATGGGAGGTTTTGTGGCTTTTCCCGTGTGTAAACGTGTACATAAGCCAATTTCCCTCAAAACGTCCCCCAAGAAGGCATCCTTCTCCTTAGGAGGATAGCGCTTTGCCATAATTCTCATTCATATAATCGAGAGAGAATATATCCTCATTCGTATATTCATATAATCAAGAGTTCTGGTAAAGAATTTGTAGTATTCAATAAATTCTAATAGTAAGTAGTTTTTGTTTGCGATAGGATGCCCACATTTGAATATATTTTTTAATTTATCATTTCTGATTCGTCCATTATTTCGCTTAAATGATGATTTCATAGCTACTGTAGTTACACTTTTAGCTATTCACTTACCTGTTCTTTTTAATATATTTCTGTATATTTATTTATACATTTTAAATAGATCGTACATACTTTGTAATAGGTGTTCATGTTTTTTAGTGCAATTCTTGTGAGCCTTTATTGCTGTTCATGTAAAATGTCTTGTATTTGTTTCTTGCGTAGATTAACTGTTGACTAGGTTATATCTGCTATGTAGCTTTCAAAAGATGAGAGATTATAAATTATACTTTATCATTCGGCAGGAATAAGCTTTGTGCTATTATGAGCAATAATTCTACTTAACGTTCTTCTACAACGTAACTGAACAGTTTTTCGTAACGATGCAAATGTATAATGCGAAACATTGTGCATTGAAATTATGTTTAGCAAAGAAACGTATGGGAATTATTGGGCATCAGTAAAATAAAACTCGGAGGGGTGCTCTCAATTTTTTTGTATAACAATGAGAAGTGCGTCTCAAAAGATATGGTAACTGGCCTATATTTCATTGAAAAACTTGAATCCCGTACTAAATGTATTTAAGTCAACTGAAAAAGGAGGAAAATCTACTGCAGTTTCTTTTCCTAAAGCATTCTTATATAGGTTATAAGGTATTTCTCCCGCCGTCCTAGCGTGCCTTCGTGGTGTAGTGGTTCTGCACGCTGGGCCGGTATTCCAGAGGTCCGCGGTTCGATTCCCGGCGAAGGCAGTTGCTATTTTTTATCTTTCCTGCTTCCAAAAAAATACCTAATGTCTCTACAGTGGCGTCCGAACTAAAAGGGTTATTGGATGATGTTTCTCCGCACCCAGTTTTGGCGATTGGGTCCCTTGTCAACCCTAATCGTCCTTTAAAAGGGGGAGTATATAAGGTATTTCTTCCACCTTCTTGGCGGGCTTTCGTGGTGTAGTGATTCCGCACGCTGGGCCGGTATTCTAGAGGTCCGTGGTTCGATTCCCGGCGAATGCGATTGCTCATTTTTCATCTCTCCGGCCTCCAAAAGAGTCCTAATGTCTCTACAGTGGCGCCCGAACTAAAAAGGTGTTGGATGAGGTTTCTTCACACCCAGGATTTGGCGATTGAGTCCCCTCAAAACCCCAGTCGCCCTTTAAAAGGGGGAGTATATAAGGTATTTCTCCCGCCTTTCTAGCCTGCCTTCGTGGTGGTGTGGTTCTGTACGCTAGGCCGGTATCTAGAGGTCCGTGGTTCGATTCCCGGCGAAGGCGGTTGCTAATTTTTTATCTCTCCGGCCTCCAAAAAGTACCGAATGTCTCTACAAGGTGACATAGCAATGCTTGCAGAAACATTAGACATAAAATATAATAATGTCTTATAAACAAAGCTCTGTCTTCCCAGGCAAAGAAAGTTGTTTATTATATGACGCAAAAGCCTATCCTCCCAATGGAAATATGCTACTGCCTTTTCTTAACAAGTGCATTTGAGACGACGCCTGTTTTTAGGCGTTATATGTAAATCTTGTACATCTTAGTTTTCATTCCTATTATTTGAAAATTTGCATTTAACCTTCGATTATATTTACTTATCACCGGAATCGTATCGTAGGAGAAAAGGTAAAACGGCCATGTTTCTTTTGTCTAATCTACGTAACCGAGCATAAGCCGGTAACTTAGAATTAAAAATTTTAAGCCTTTCACGTCTGAAAGTTTCACAAAAGTTTTGTAACAAACTTTTATGCTTTCGCCAAAGTCTGTTACTGCTCATGTACGGCGAGCTTCTTGTTAATAATTTCTTTAAAAGTCTTCACTCGAATGTAAAGAGAACTGGAAACTAATGAGTTCCCTTTTGAAATTTTTTTTTAAATCCCATAAATGATGTATCTTCTATTCCTTTTACTATAAAAATTCTGTTTATTAAAAAGCATATTTTAACTGATTTTCGTTATTCGTTTATTATTATTAGATAATCTTATTTTTAATAAAAGTTCCTTTTTATTAAAAATAAGATTGGAATTTTAATATGTAGGAAAGTTAGTTAAACCAACCATGTCAAAGAATGCAGTCATTGAATAATCGAAAGTACTGTTAATGTGTTTTCTTACTTATGGTTTTTTTCACATTAATTTCTTACAGATTTATGTTTTATTATCTGTATATTTATATAATACAGAAACAAAAACAGCAGCCGAAAATCATACTTGCCAAAATTTAAAAAGAGCTGAATAAATGCACATAATTTTCTAGTTTTTACATTCAAAAGAATTTGAGTTGCAAAGATATTCTTGTTCATCACTTGGAAAGATAATTTCTTTTAACAAACAAGCCATGATACTCACGAAATCGCTATTGTTGTTTAAAATTACCATATTACATAGATTTGTTTTGAAAATGCAAATGATTTGGCTTTTATAATCATATTTTGCAATTTCCATTAAATAAATAACTCGGGGATGACTGCGAATGCTTCCTGAACGGTTAAGATTTATGGATGGGTATAGAACAACCAAATTTCGTTATTGCTGTGATTCGCTTGTAGAATGACTTTGTCCATCAGAAGCTTGTACACATATAGCTGCTGATGCATTTTTTTGTAATTCAAATGTTGTAGTAAAAACTATTCCTTCCCAACATTGCGAACTGATTCTTTCACAAATTCCACATACTAGCTAAACTGCAATGTTTGAGTGCTCAGAAAGCGAGCATGAAGTCATTTGGTAAAAATGTATAAACAATGCATCTTGGACTGTGGTGATGCCGTCTAAATAGGTATAGATATGTTGCAAGATCCACCTTTCTTTGCAAAAATTTCTTAGATTAACTTGGCCGGTCGCAGACTTTTGCCAAGATACTATGTAAAATTACGTAGTCTGTTAACAGTGTGTAAACACAACGCTAGGTGTATACTTTTGAGGCGATTAATGGATCGTAAATATCTATAGTATGTCAACTAAAGCTTGAATATTTGTACTGTAATTATCAGTCTAATAGACCTTCATTATAACAGAGAATGTGGCAATTTTTTTCCCATTTCTAGCATTGCTGTTAAGGCTATACAGAGTAGTGTATTTATTTTCTGTCATTTGTGTAAGAATATAATTCTTTATGTTGTCTTAATTACATTAATGCGTCTTTTTGATACACAGAACATCTATCTCTTTTAGGTGCTTGAGTTGTTTACAACAATAAGGGAAGTAACGAAGGAGATGTTCAATCAGCAAACTGTAGCACAACCAACTCTAAAAACTGCGAGTGGAACCACATTGGATTCAGTCATTAGCAGTTGTCAACAATACGAAGTTCTTTATCTAGGTAGGATAAAGGTAAGGAAGAAGGTCATTTGTTACCGAAATAAAATCTATTCTGACGTAATTTTTCTTTGTTTCATAACTGAAAGCAGTTAAGTTTTCGTTCTAATCCGTTTTTAAGATTATTTTTATCGAAAAGGTTTTATTGTGTTAGAATTGAGCCATTATGCAGAAGATAAAAATTGTATTTATATATTTGAATTCAAATTTTACATAATATTCGGTTTTTGTCTTCTTAGAGTCATAATTTATGTACCGTATATTTTGATTTATGATGTACAACTTTGTATGCCATTTAAAGTATAAAATTCGTTGCTTGACATCAGAATGCGAAGGTAATGAAATCTTCTGGATAAGCAGAATTCATACTTATTTAAGAAAGAACGCGTAATTAGAATTCACAAAGGAATTCATACATGCAATGGTAAAGTAGTGTAGAGACATTAGGTTATTTGGAAGCAGGAGAGATGAAAAATGAGCAGTGCCCTCGCCGGGGCTCGAGCCACGGACCTCTCGAATACTCGCCGAGCGTGCTAAGCACTACACCACGAAAGCATGTTACGAAGGCGGGCGAAATACCTTGTATGCTTCCCGCTTTTAAATGCGACTGGGGATTAGGGGACCCAATTGCCAAATCCTGGTGGTGGAGAATCATTATCCACCACCTTTGTTTTTAGTTCGGGCGCCACTGCAGATACATTAGGTTATTTCGAAGCAGGAGAGATGAAAAATGAGCAATGCCCTCACCGGGACTCGAACCACGAACCTCTCGAATACGCGCCGTGCGTGCTGACCACTACACCACGAAGGAATGCTAAAAAGGCGGAAGAAATGCCTTATAGTAGTAGTGGAGAATAAAGTGAAGAATTGTAACGTACCGTGTCCCGAAACAAGTGAAGAGGTTCAACGGAAAAATTGGCAAAAATAAGGTAAAATTTTTTTAAAAAAATCTGTTGTACTTCCGTTGCAGCTGTGTCCAACTTTATCGAACCCCTCTCTTCTTTGTGCTAATTCTTACTCTACTAATTTAATAAGTTAACTCTATGTCAAGACTATCGCGAAATAGACTTGAAAAAATAGTGATACGATGTTTGTGAATGCTGTTGAATGTTTTTTCTGATAATACGCGAGTTATATTCTGAAAATTTTATATGTTGCTGCAATCACCTGCATTTATTTTATCATCCACTTCCATAACTCCTAGTGAGATTTAACCCGTGTCCCCCTCCAGAACTCTGTCTCAATTACTTAAATTAGAACTATATGTTTGAAAAACCCCATGTGTGCCATCTTAATTCGATACAAAATTGCACGATATCATAATTCCCGATGGAATGATAGCAATGTAAGCAAACACATTTCTCATTGAACTTCAGCCAAAATGGATGTTAACTGCAGCAAGAAGAGCAGTTATTCAATTTTAAAATTCTGCTACCATGGCAATGCATGGGAGCACATGACTAACTTTGTAGCACAGTGTTTGGCTCCAAGTAACATTGAATGTGATCCTAATCTCTGATCCATGTATCTTAGGTCTAGTTCCAAACAATCTGTTCTTCCTTTGTTTTCTAATCCGAAGTAAAATTTAGAGGAAGATGCTTCTCCGATTCTTGAAGTATACAGAGGCTATTTTAATTAGACTTCACGAAAATGGTCTACAGCAGATGTTTGAATACTGGAAGAAGAGGTAAAATGAAAATCGTTCCTGACCCCATCCTACAAAAGTCTCATTCGTAGTTGAAATACCAGTCTATTAGTGCTATAAACTAAAAGTTCTCAAATCTTCTAAAACAAGAGGCTGGAGTGAGTATATCAAAATTTCAAAAGGATACTCTCTTCAGCCTTCTAAGGATTTGAATGATAAAGATACAAATTTCTATGATTAATTTTCTTTAGTTTTTAACTATAAAATTCTAAATTATAATTTTTGTCATTGTCAGTTCTGAAACAGGCGTTACACCAACCCCCTGACGACGATGCAACGAGGGAAGTAAATAACTTTTCCCTCATTCTTTAACTGATTTCATTTACTATTTTTGATACACCCTGTTTTTGCACCTTATCTTGCAGTTTGAGTTTCTCGACTTTGATTCTAATGGTTTGTCGCTTATAGAATGTGGAATAACTTTAAAAGTTTTATGATAATTTTATTTTGCTTTATTGCCACCAGTTGTTGCAGCTATCAGTGCATAATTAGATTAGGTTTTGAACAGCTGTTTACTTTGTATTTAACCATTTATATAATCATATATGTATATCATTTAATCATATATATATATATTGTCATCATATATGTATATCATTTAATCATATATATATATATGTATTGTTATCATATATGTATATCATTTAATCATTTATATTATATATACAGGGTGATTCTAAATTGCGTTTACAAATTTAGAGGAGTGATAGTACCCATCCAGACGAGCAATAATTAACATAGAACATAGGGTCGCATTCCACACGGAGAGGCAGAAAAGAGAAATTTCAGACTTCCAACCTGAAGTTACAACAATGTTGGGAAAGCAAATGAACGAGACCAAAAGTTGCGCAATCAGGCTTATTTTTTAGTGAAAAACTTTACAGAAAGTGCTCAAAATGCCGATCACGTGTGTCGTTGTACATAAACACCCCCTGCACTGGAACTTCCAGTACAGCCCCTGCACTGGAAGGACTTAGCCTCCCTTTCAAGGTTTCAGAACTGCAACTTCAGGACCAATCTGAGAGGGCGCCACCCCTCCCGATCGCTGCAGAGGGAAAACTTCCCTCGATAATTTAAATCATCGGAGAAAAGACCGACGGGCGTCCATCACTAAGAGATCCACAGGGCCGATCTGAACTCCGACTCAGCACATGTTAGACTAAGACTTCAAAGAGAAATTCCTACGAGCGGGGGCACCACTCCCTCTCGCGATACTAGGAACAAGGAACGAAATTTAAATTTCAAGATCATACGTCTCTCCACACCGACCGAGAGGAGCCAATTTTTCTCAGACGGGCCAACACCATCCACCAGGTAATATCTCCACCACCAAGGATACGGACAAGGCAGTATCAGTACGATCCCTGCAAAGCCTGAACCTACCATCGAAAAAAAGATGTTTCTAATCTGTGTGAAGACTGATTATTTGCTCTGCAGGCTGGAGCTGTCTAGACACAGGTCTAACCAGTGATCTGGAAGAAACCCGGGTCTCCTCCCATAAATGGTCGGTTCCGGAAATTCCGCCCAGCCGGACCACAGAGGTGGTTGTCCAGCATGGTTAGCCTATGCCAGCCAGCCTATTTCTAGCCTTTGCCGGCATAGTTTCCAGCGGGTACCACGTGGAGGCCGATACTGAACTGAAGAAGACGTGGCGAACCACCTCCTTTCAGCACCCGCACCCTCAGATCAAACCCCGGGTCTCCTACCGTCAGCAGTCGATTCCATAAATTTGTCCTCAGGTGCGGGTACTGCCCGCCCTTGTCGTTGTACAACTGACATCGGAAGAACGGCTGGAGCACCCTTCTGGTGTCGTGTTAATTTTGTCCGCGGCAACGGCGATTCTCGCTCTGAGATCTTCATATGAGTCCACAGGCGTCTTGTACACGAAAGATTTCATCTGCCCCAGAAGAAAAAGTCCAGCCACGTCGGATCCATCATGCGGGATATGGGGCATTCAAAAGGTTACGGACCGTGACGGAAAAATGTGCTGGGACTCTCGTGCATAAACCACATGTATTTCTGAATGGGGAGCGTAACAGCCTGCAATAAACTGGAAAGTACTTGTTCGAAGATACGGTATGTTGCGCCGGTCAAACGGTCTGGCATGATGTAAGGGCCTGCCAGGTAATTACCTAAGATACCTGTTCTAATACTTGAAGCGATGATGTGTCTTTTTCAAGGACACCGTTTGCTCTGATTGGCTTTCTCCGGTACCAACTAAGAGCAGAATACTGCTTCTTCTCAGTGCAAATTTGCATACGGTTAATTCTTGATATTCTTAAGAGATAGATAGTCTTCTTGTCCTTCCTTGATGCAACTCTACTTTCCTCTTTTCTGCCTCTCAGAGTGGAATGCGACCCTCTGTTCTGAGGTAATTATTGCTCGTCTGGATGGGTATTATCACCCCTCTTAAATTGTAAAAGCATTTAGAATCAACCTGTATATATTGTATCCCCCCGGGGGATGACTCAGACGAATGCTTGGGAAGTACTGGTTAGGATCTGTACCTAGGCAGTCTCAACCACGGGGGTATATAGTTTGACTTCACAGGACTAGAGCCCGAGTATTGTACTCAGGTTGGTTCAGGCTTGGCAGGGACCGTACTGGTACTGTCGTGTCTGTTCCTTCGGCTGTGGTGGAGCTGCATGGTACATTTGTCGACTGAGTTCCCGGGGGTTTGACCCCATTCAGTTCTCGTGGCGGGGACTGACAAAACGGACAGAGCACCTTTCTACAATGTGGTTTTGCCGATGGAGTGGTGCCCGGAGGCAAGGTGACAGCGTATCAAACTAGCAACGTATCGTTCTGCCCAATGCTTAGTAAAAGCCGGACGGGGACTGCGGTAGTTTCGCCTGCGAGAACGAGGTCCCACGGGCGTTGGATATTTCAAACTCTGGATGGGTCCCGTATAATGAGGACCTGGGATGGAGGTCCTTCGCTTGGTGTGTCTGTGTCTGTATATATTGTATATACAAGTACAATAGAAGATAAAATTTTTAAATTTTGAGAAATGGAAATCTAGAATGAGAAATGAATGTTTACCTTTTTTAATATGTCTAATTTTCCATTGCTGGAATTTTTTTTCTACTTTTGCTTATCGAATTTCCAATGTATTAACGCCCTGCAGTTTGAGATGTAATTAATGTTTTAGTTAAATTCTTTTTCGTTTTAATTTAATTTATTTATTTTCTAGGTTAGTGGAAAGAGGGCCCCTCCGAGCTTCATTGACGATGCCGTTGAAAAATTCAGGTTATATGAACTTGAAAAGGCACGAAATCAACAGAACTCTGGCAGACGCCGACATGGAAGTGGTGCTAGCATATCTAGTCTTCCTCATAATTTAGATCTGGTTGAAAGGCCATGTGAAAATGGACTGAAAAAACATTCTGGCAGCCGTGAAAATTTAAGTAGTAGCATTGGAGTGAGTTCTTGTGAGAGTATCAGCTGTAAAACTTCTGATACTTGTAGCCGTGTAAGTAATTCAACTGTTTGACAAATTAAAAAGAAATTCATTTAAACGTTTTGCTTTTCTTTTGTTCATAAACATAAAATATGAAAGATTAAATTTATAATAAATTATTGCTGTTTGAAGAAAAGTTTTTTTTTTCTTTTCCAGATTTGCTGTGATAGTTGTAATGAACCTCAACTCCAATCGCCGTTAAGTCCTTTGTACAGTTCTGAAGAGTTAGACAAATTTCCCAAACCTGATCGTTCACTTGTAACTCATAGTCAAAGTATGGACATTGCTGCTGCAGCGAAAATGACTGCAGATATGAAAAGCTCTGATGCAAAGTGCAATTTAATGCCTCCGTCCTCTCTTATTACCCATACGCAGAGCTTAGATGCTCCAGGTTGTGCTGATATCGTTCGTGACCTGAGAGACATTGACCCGTCAGTAATGTTACGGGATAGGGTGCGATCTTGTAGTGGAGACATACCTAGAACAAAACAAACGTCTCTTCCTACATTTGGTCACCGACTAGGAAGTGGAGATTCTGACATGCGGCGACCCCGTGCTTACACAAGTCCTAGTCCTTCCAGTAACCGCCAGTGCAATAGGACCATGCTATTTTTGATTGGTCGTTTAGAAATATGTCTTATAGGAATGGACAAAAAACAGATGCTATTGAGCAAAACCTTCAACGACATCGCTCACTGTTCACAAGTATGCTTTTATTTTTTATTTACATTATTAGAAAATGCTGTTATTATTATTGTTGTTTTAGCGTTTATGTTGCTTCGAAAATCTTGCTTTTCTGTATTAATGCAAATAATACAACTTTAGATATCGCAAAGATCATGCCTTTTACAAGGTTATTCAGAAACCTCCCATGCTGTTGAGAAATTTTGACTTTATCGTGTTTGCCGCTGTGCCTTAACTGTATTAAATGAATTCGCAATTCGGTTGTTTAAGAATAACAAGTGATCAATCTAGTGATGAACATGTAAGACTACGTACTATACGAATTTCTTGGAGAAAAAATAACAAAATAGCCAACTTTAACACAGTTTATTCGAAAGCATTAAATATGAGGAAATAACGGGAATGACTTTAGAGATTTTGAAATGGCGATTTCGTTGTACAAGATTTCCCAAGATTCAGACGACCGTAACACATTGACAATTAGCATCTTCACGCTATAGTTGAGGATATCCACAAGAAACATGGTATAAAATCGCAAAAACATCAGCTTATAGAAAATAATTTTTCTGTCACTTTTTTTTTGCTATGGTAATGGTAAACAAGTCTGAGAAATGAGCTCTTATCGGAAAACAGAAATTGCAGTGATTTTAGCATTCTTCAAATTACCTTTTCTTGGCTAGGATAATTACGCACTGTGTGAAGTCTAATATTCATTGGTAAAATTTTTCTTTTGAATCTTGTGGGCTGAAGTGTTCATTATGAGTTATATTATACACTGACTACTAATAAGTATTTGGACACCTGTGATAAAAAAGAAAAACTAACTTTATTCAAAATCAATAGTTGGTAGAGCCTCCACGAGAGGTAATTACTGCGTGGACCCTCCGGGGCATACTTTCCACAAGTCTTTGTATGACAGCTAGTGGTATTTTCTTCCACTCGGCTTGGAGAAGACATAGAAGTTCCTTCATCGATTTTGCACGGGTAGTACACCCCTGAATTCGGCGATGCAACTCGTCCCAGAGGTTTTCGATGGGGTTCAGGTCTGGACTCTGGGCAATCCAGTCCATTCGATGAACTCCATTGACACCATACCAAGCCTTGGTTAACGTCGAAACATGACAACTGGCATTGTCGTCCTGAAAGTAACAAAGGTCCAACCGTAAAACTGCCACAACGTAGGAAGCAAATTGCCATCCAAAATAGTGCAGTAGGCATCGGAGTTGAGCGTACCATGAATGGGGACCAAGGGTCCCAGCCCATACCAGGAGAAACACCCCCAGACCATAATTCCACCTCCGCCGAACTTGACTGTTGGCACAATGCATTCTGGCAGGAGACGTTCTCCAGGTAGACGCCAGACCCAGACCCTGACATCCGAACGGTAAAGGGTGAACCTTGATTCGTCACTCCAAAGAACCCGTTTCCACTGATCTATGGTCCAATTTCGATGTGCTTTACACCACATTAATCGAGCAGCACGGTTGGACTTTGTGATCAAAGGCTTATGGGCAGCAGCACGACCATGAAAACCAAGCAGATGTGCTTCCTTACGGATGGTATTCATTGAAACAATACTTCCGGATGCCTGTTGAAACTCCTCGCGGATGAGGGCCATCGGTTGGGTGCGGTTCTTTCAAATTTCTCTGGACAGCACTCGTCGGTCTCTATCTCCCAGTTTCGTTGGTCTGCCGACTCGGGGCACATTCCGACAATCACCGCTCACCTTCCACTTCTTAATCACATAGGCCACTGTCGATTTTGGGTACTTCAGATCCCTAGATATGTCCCTTAAGGATCGGCCACATACCCGATAATTATAACTTTCTCGAAATCAGAGAGCTCCGAACTGCGAGGCATCTTCCATGCGACTAAAGCCGATGTCATTGCCATAAAGCCAATGCTGTTTCCTACACGATATATACCGGCGGAGTCCGTGACGTACCTTAGGACCGCAGATATCGTCATTTGCATACGTGTCCAAATACTTATTGGTAGTCAGTGTAGTTCATTATGAGGTTCTCTTGTTATGATGAAACACTAATTCTTGAAGCCTATTGTATTTAATTAATTCCTCTATTTGCAAGAACTTAAATAAGTTTGTTTATAATAGGCAATAGGCAAAGTTAACTCTTGGTTATCTTAAGTTATAGCTGCATGGTAACCCCAACGCATTCTTTCCGAAGCATGTAATAAAATTTTGAGGAATTCGGTTGTGTGTGCTCTCCTGTTATACGTTATAATCAACTTAGCTTCTTCTTATATCCGTTAAGCCCACCAGCGGCCGAGCGGTAAAGTCGCTGAACACTGGTAGTTCGGTCTGAGGTTCGAATCCCGCGAACGGGCTGGCTGCATGGGTGTTTTCGTGGTTTTTCCCCATGTGTAACGTGTATACGAGCCAGTTTCCCTTAGAAAGTCCTCCACGAAAGGCATCCCTCCCCTTTGGCAGATACCCCTAGTATGCTTTGCCGTAATTAAATACATCACACCACCTTATATCCGTTAAAAAAAGTCAATGTAACATTTCTTAGATGACGAAGAATTCAAAACATTTGATGAGATGTGGAAGTACTCAAACCATTTCATGATATACAATGTAATAGTATTGACGAGTATGTGGAAGCTTGAGTTTTTCAAAATTGGTATCTGCAGAGTGCCGAATTAACCGGTAGACAAATAAGACGAATGTCTTGAGCCCATAAGTTGTGAGGCCCAGCGCAGAACAAGAGGAGAAAATTAATAATTAATTAATTAATAAGTAAATAAAAATAATATAATTTAAAAATATTTTTAAATCTTAAATAGCATTTGCAGATAATTGCATTAGATAATAAAAATAAATGCTACCATAATTGATCAAGCACTAAATCGTGTTCGGTGCTACATACCAGTAGTCGTACCTAGGCTAATCGATAGTATGCATGAACTGTGTGATAACTCCTAATTGTGCATATTAGATATTTATGTTCATGATTCATTGTCTGTCCTTTTGCAATTACAATTTCCACTGTAAAAAATAAACTGACAATTTATTTAAATTTTGCAAAAACAACATTTACGAAGCCCGACAGATATATAACAGTTCGTGAGAAATAACAGCATTGTATTTTCTGTTCCTAATTTCGAAACATTGTTAAAAATTGATTTAACTATGCCTGTAACTCAACAGGAGAGAGATTTGTCTTTGAAAACCAGTTTAAAAATATTTTAAAAAAATCAATAGGACAGGAAATGCTAGGGTCTTTAACAGCGCTTGCTACATAAAAAGAAAATTTTGGACAACTAGCTTATAAAAACTCAACTTCATGAAATGAAAGTCTGAAAAAAAAAAGTTTAAAATTGTTTAAAGACTGACTGATGATTATTTGTATTTTTCATTATGCAAGAAACCGTTTTACTTTGCAATTACTATTGTACTAATATTTTATTATTAATAAAAATTGTACTAGTTCCCTATTATTTTAGTAGTTCTTTATTACTAGTAAAACATTTTTAGCGCCATTATTTAAGATTTCATTAAAAGCAACATGTATAAATGAAGGCCCGATGAAAATTTCTTCTATGGTCCGCTAGAGGCATAATCTGGCATTGTATCAAGAACCTGCTTTTCAGATGCCAAAGTGTTATAAATAATAATTAATAAACTTTGAATGATCTGTTTGTGCTGTTACGTCAAGGTTCGTCTAATAGAAACTGTATAACTTTTGGAATGAGCTTATAAACTTTAAAAGAAAAAATATGTTCAGAAATTGAAAGTCATAAGTTGCTTTTTGTATGTTGAGTCTGTTATGAAAAATCATATACGATATGCCTTCATGGAGCACTTTCGCTGGGAAATTGACTGGTGTTTCTACTACGCATGGAAAAAAAAAACGAAAATGCCCATGCAGCTTGTCCATTCGTCAGAGTTCTAAGCTGGGTCGAACTACTTGTTTGACAGTCATAGGATATAAATTAATTGAATTAACGATCGCTTAGTAAGGAAATGTTTGAAGTAATGCCGATTCTTGAAACATATGTTGAGGAGTTTTCTCATTACTGGCTTGTAGTGCCTTGCAAATACACCGTATCTGCTAGTGTGCGTTGCTGTAAAGCTAGAAGCCACGAGAGATATGGAAAACGTTCAAGGGGAAGAAAGGCCTTTATTAAAGTATGGGTCATACTTGAGTAACTTTCAATTAGCTCAAGAGTTTTGCAGAGAAATATTGAAATTTTCCTCTGTTAGATAGTGAGATTAGCATTTAAGTGGAAGTTAACACACTATTCAGGGCTTAATTTCTAAAATTAGAAGTGCCGGAGCCCTATGGAAGACTATGAGGAACGAAAGAAAAAAATAAACAAAATAGGTAAAATTTAAAATAATTCAATTTAAATGAGGAGAAATGTACATAGAAATCTATTTAGTTAGTTTGCATCTCGAGGAGCTTAAATAATTAAATTTAAATTAGGAGAAATGTAAACAGAAAATCTAATAAATAATTTTGCTGCGTTATTTTTCTTGCAGCTCACCAAGGGAAAAAAGATAAAACGATTAAAATTCCACTAAAAAGAATCATGAGAATTCTAGACACAGTATTTAGGATATGAAAAGAAATTTTAAAGAAAAAGTGTAGCTTTGAAAATAAAAAGGTTAGAGTTCAAGACTTTCTGATCGCGCTGCCCTGTCTATATAATTCTAGCCGTCAAGGAGAAATTTTCTCTGAATACGATTCGGTAACTACGTGAGGAATAAACATAAGACTTCTCTGTACAAGTGGCAGCAGTGGCGCTCCGCGTTTGGTTATATCATTCAGAAAGTCTACAGGAGTTCTGCAATAGGAAGTCATTAGCGTGGAACGTGCAAGACCAGGGTATCACTTTTAGTACTTTGAGGAACACAAAGTTTGTCCGCTGTCATAAATTCATTGCACATCCTGGAGAATAAGCCTTTCACATATGATTGGGGGCTTTTCTTTCCTTAAAAGTGTCAACCTCTGCTCAAGGTCTGAATGCGAAGGAAAGACAGGCGTGCATTCAGAAGT